CACAAAGAGATACCCCTTCAAACACATTGGGATAACTATTAAAAACAAAAAAACCAAAAAGAAAATAATGTGTTGGTGATGATGTGCAGAAATTGGAACACTTTCGCTTTGATGGGAATATAAAATCATGCAGCTGCTATGGGAAACAGTGTGTATGCTCCTCAAAAATATAAAAATACCATTAACATTTAATAATTTCACTTCTTAGTATATACCCAAAAGAATTGAAACAGAGTTTCAACCAGATATTTGCACACATATATTCATAGCAGCAATATTCACAGTAACCAGAAGGTGGAAGCAAACCAATTGTTCACTGGTGAATGAAAGAATAAACAAAACATGGTATGTACATATAATGTAATATTGTCTAGCTTTAAAAGGAAAGGAAATTCTGACAAATTGTATAACATGGATGAATTTTGAAGAATTATGCTCTAAGTAAAATGTACCAGTCACAAAAGGGTAACTACTTATGATTCCACTTTTATGAGGTACCTAGAGTTGTCAAATTCATAGAAACAGAAAATAAAGTGGTGGTGGCCAGTGGCTGAGGTGAGTGAGGAATGGTGTTTTTTTTGTTGTTGTTGTTTAATGAGTACAGTTTCAGTGTGAGGAGACAAAAAAAAGATCTGGACATAAATGATTGGTAATGTTTTCACAACAATGTGAATGTACTTAATGCCACTAAATTTCACGTTTGAGAGTGGTTAAATGGTAAATTTTATGTTATGTAAAAATAACCTAGCATAATGAAAAGGTGATTAATTATTACTTTGCTAACTATGGGGAGAACTAGTGTGGATAATCTTAGCATCACATATATTTAGCTATAATACAGTAAATATTTGAGGCAGTGATTGACCTTGTTTATATTTTGCATAAGGTTAAAATAATTGTTTTTTGCATCTCTTAGGAACCAATCTTAGGAGAAGCATGTCAAAGATACGCTGAATAGCAGGAAGACAGTCATTTAGGATTAAACTATTTTTTATTAAGTTTTTTGTTTTAATCCCAGTAAAATTAACATACAGTGCTATAATAGTTTCAGGTGTACAATATAGTGATTCAACAATTCTATACATTACTCAGTGCTCATCATGAGAAGTTTACTCTTTAATCCCCATCATATATTTCATCCATCCTCCCACTCATCTGCCCTCTGGTAATCGTCACTTTATTCTCTATAGCTAAGAGTCTGATTTTAGGTTTCTCTCTCTCGCTCTTGCTCTCTCTTTCCTTTTGCTTCTTTGTTTTGTTTCTTAAATTCAACATATGATTGAAGTCATATGGTGTTTGTCTTTCTCTGACTTATTTCACTTAGCATAATGCTCTCTAGCTCCATCCATGTTGTTGCAAATGGCAAGATGTCATTCTTTTTTATGGTTGAATAATATTCCATGGTACATATATACTACATATTAATTATCCATTCATCTGGCGATGGACACGGGCTACTTCCATAATTTGGTTATTGTAAATTATGCTCCAATAAGCATGTACATCTGTTCCTTTCAATTTTTTTGGTATTATTTTGGGTAAATACCCAGTACTGCAATTACTGAATCATAAGGTAGTTATATTTTTAACTTTTAGAGGAACCTCCATACTGTCTTCCATGGTAGTGGCACCTGTTTGCATTCCCACTGCCAATACAAGAAGATTCCTTTTCCTCCACATCCTCTCAAACACTGCTTTCTCCTATTGTTGCTTTTAGCCATTCAGACCAGCCATTTAGACCAGATGTGATATCTCATTGTAGCTTTGACTCGCATTTCCATGATAATGAGTGATGTTGAGAGTCTTTCATGTGTCTGTTGGCCATCTGAGTGTTTTTGTTTCTGTTTTTTGAAAAAAATCTATTAATCTGTATGTTTTCTTGGGAGAACTGTCCGTTCATGCCTTCTGCCATTTTTAAAATTGGATTATTTGGGGTATTTTTGCTGTTGAGTTGTATGAATTCTTTGTATATTTTGGATACTAACCTTTTATCAAATATGTTGTTTGCAAATATCTTCCTTTAGTAGTTTTCCTTGTAGTTTTGTTGATTGATTCCTTTGTTGTGCAGAAGATTTTTATTTTCATGTAGTCCCAACAGTTTATTTTTGCTTTTCTTTCCCTTGCTTCAGAAGACATATATACAAAAATGTTGCTAAGGCTGATATCAGAGAAATTACTGCCTTGCTCTTTTCTAGAATTTTTATGGTCTCATGTCTAACATTTAGGTTCTTAATCCATTTTCAGTTTATTTTTGTGTATGGTGTAAGAAAGTGGTCCAGTTTCGGGCACCAGGGTGGCTCAGTTGGTTAAGCGACTGCCTTCAGCTCAGGTCATGATCCTGGAGTCCCAGGATCGAGTCCCACATCGGGCTCCTTGCTCAGCAAGGAGTCTGCTTCTCCCTCTGACCCTCTTCCCTCTTGTACTCTCTATCTCTCATTCTCTCTCTCTCAAATAAATAAATAAAATCTTTTTTTAAAAAAAAAAGAAAGAGGGCGCCTGGGTGGCTCAGTTGGTTAAGCCACTGCCTTCGGCTCAGGTCATGATCCTGGAGTCCCAGGATCGAGTCCCGCATTGGGCTCCCTGCTCGGCAGGGAGTCTGCTTCTCCCTCTGACCCTATCCCCTCTGATGTGCTCTCTCTCTCTCATTCTCTCTCTCTCAAATAAATAAATAAAATCTTTAAAAAAATAAAAAAAATTAAAAAAATTAAAAAAAGAAAGATAGTGTTCCAGTTTCATTGTTTTGCATGTTGCTGTCTAGTTCATCCAACATCAGTTGTTGAAGAGATTGTCTTATTTCCGTTGGATATTCTTTCTTGCTTTGTCGAGGATTAGTTGATGATAGAGTTGTGGGTTCATTTCTGGGTTCTCTGTACTGTTGCATTGATCTATGAGTCTATTTTTGTACCAGTACCATACTTTTTTGATCACTACAGCTCTGTAATATAACTTGAAACCTGGAATTGTGATGCCTCCAGCTTTGCTTTTCTTTCTCAAGTTTGCTTTGGTTATTTGGAGTCTCTTTTGGTTCCATATGAATTTTAGGGTTGTTTGTTCTAGCTTTGTGAAAAAAATGTTGGTATTTTGATAAGGATTACATTAAATGTGTAGATTACTTTGGGTAGTATACACATTTTAACAATGTTTGTTCTTCCAATCTTTGAGCATGGTATGCCTTTCCATTTTTTGTGTCATCTTCAATTTCTTTCATCAGTGTTTTATAGTTTTCAGAGAACAGGACTTTTACCTCTTTGGTTAAGTTCTTTTTTTCTAGATATTTTATTGCTTTTGTACAATTGTAAATGGGATTATTTTCTTCTCTTTCTGCTCTTTAATTATTAGTATACAGAAATAGAACAGATTTCTGTACATTGATTTTGTAACCTGAGACTTTACTGAATTCATTTATTAGTTCTAGTAGTTTTTTTTGTTGGAGTCTTTAGGATTTTCTAGGTATAGTGTCATGTTATCTTCAAATAGTGAAAGTTTGACTTCTTCCTTGCTTATTTGGATGCCTTTTATTTTTATTTATTTATTTATTTATTATTTATTTTCTCTGATTGCTGTGGCTTAGACTTCCAGTACTGTGTTGAATAAAAGTGATGAGAGTGGATATCCTTGTCCTGTTCCTGATCTTAGAGGAAAAACTCTCAGTTTTTCCCCATTATGTATGTTAGCTGCTGGTTGCTCATTTTTCATATATATGACCTTTATTATGTTGAAGTATGTTCCTTCTAATCTCCTTTTTGAGTTTTTATTTTTATCATGAATGGATGTTGTACTTTTTCTGCATCAATTTAAATGATCATATGGTTTTAATATGATTAACCTTTTTAAAAAACCTACCACAGATCAATTATTTCCGATAAGAAAGAGTATTAGTGTTATCAATTATGATTCAGTGGTACGTTTCTCAGAAGAAAACATATAATATACATATTTATCCCTTTAGTCTTTTCTTCCCAAATTCTATCCTTTATATCACTGTTAGATCAATTTCCCCTAAAGAGTTTTCTTTGTGATATTCCACTCCCCTTAAATTTAACTGTCCCTTCACTACAAGTTAAAATCCAAAAGCTTCCACTTTGACATTCCAGGCTGTCAAATGATCTGGTACTTATTTGGGTTTTGAATTGTCCACCCAAATTGCATTTCAACCTAAAGTCTCTGCTTTTATCTACAAATCTATCTCCTTTATATCCATGGTTTGGATTGTGAATTTTTCTAGACCTGAAATTCCCTTCATTATATTGTGTATATGCAAAGTACAAATTCTACTTCCTCCATGAATTTTTTGAGGACATCATCTCATACTGATCTCCATCTTCTGAATTCTGATAACCTTATTAATTACAAATTTGTCACTTGGCCTTAAGTTAATATCTTTTAACTATTATATATAAATATATATTATCTATAATATATATATTATATATATACTATCTTGAAGAGAATGTGAATGTTATAACTACAAATCATGTGACCGAGTTATTGAAGAAACCTATCACACTTTATCCAAACAAATGTCTCCCATTTAAAGAAGTTACCTTTGAAAAATCAAATACTTAATACAATAGAGTTATTGTTCAAAATATAATTAGTATCTCTTTTTGGGAATTCTTTCTGTATAGCTTTCATCCTTTGGGGACTAATATAATTTTTGAAGTAGTAAAGTCTTATTGATTTGAGATGGTGAATAGTTTCAGTGATATAGTTTGGCATTAAATTTCTTTATTCTTGCATCCCTTTTATTTCATTATTTTATAGGGTGATTTTCAAACAATAAAATAATATTTAAAGAATATGTTTCTGATGATACACCTAAAATACATTAGAATTTCTTCAAAATATTTTGAGCCTAGGAGTAAGTGTGCAATTTTACAAAAAAAAATTAATCCTCTGAAAGGATTAACACTTATTTGGGAGACAACCTTCTAGTAGCCTAAAAATATTTCTCATTTCTGAAAAAAAAATACATACATAAATAAATAGAAATATTTTACCGTTCCACACAGCCAGAAAGCCTGGAGCAATGGCTAGAAGCAGGGGCATCATGACCCCCAGCAACATATAAGAATCCATTGTATGCTGCAACTCCCACACCTCCACGTCTTTTGGACATTGAAGCACACAGACTCCACTTGTTAGTGTGTGGGTCAAAGTATTCCATTGATTTGAGGCAGGAACTTCCATCACGACCACCAATAGCATATAGTCTAGGAAAAAAGAGCAGAAGTGTGTGTGTGTGTGTGTGTGTGTACATGTGTGTGTATAAAACGTTTTCAGTTTGTGCATCAAATAAATGTGAAAGCACCTTGTACAAAGCATTTCAAGTTTATGACTATATGTTCTACTCCCTTAGTATTTTGTAGTGGATGCCCTGAGTTTGTGAATGGATAATTACTTAAAGGCACTTTTCAAGGTCTAATCCACTCCAAACCTCCCAGGCTTCATCATTTTTGTGAAAGTTTGACACAATGGACTAAAACATTCCATGAGAAATGAAAACAGAAAGAGAAAGGAGATATCAAAAGCATTGGCAGTATTTGTCAATGCCTCAATAAACCTGGAAATTAAAATATAAAAAGGGTAGGTAGGATGTTTCCAAAGACTAACTCCAGCAACTTTATGATTTTAGCTAGGTTCAACTGCATAGCATTAAAATCCCTCTTATCTTTATGAACTGTTTTACTTAGTATTAAAAACATTTGTCATGAAATAAGTCAATCAGAGAAAGACATATATCATATGATCTCACTGATATGAGGAATTCTTAATCTCAGGAAACAAACTGAGGGTTGCTGGAGTTGTGGGGGGTGGGAGGGATGTGGTGGCTGGGTGATAGACATTGGGGAGGGTATGTGCTGTGGTGAGCGCTGTGAATTGTGCAAGACTGTTGAATCATAGACCTGTACCTCTGAAACAAATAATACATTATATGTAAAAAAAAAAAAAAAAGAAGAAGAAGATAGCAGGAAGGGAAAAATGAAGGAGGGGAAATCGGAGGGGCAATGAATCATGAGAGACTATAGACTCTGAGAAACAAACTGAGGGTTCTAGAGGGGAAGGGGGTGAGGGGATGGGTTAGCCTGGTGATGGGTATTAAAGAGGGCACGTTCTGCATGGAGCACTGGGTGTTATATGCAAACAATGAATCATGGAACACTACATCAAAAACTAATGATGTAATGTATGGTGATTAACATAACATAATAAAATAAAATAAAATATATTAAAAAAACATTTGTCATTAAGAAGACTAACTTAATAAACGACTAAGGGAATAAGATAGAATCAACAAACTGGATTCTTTCCTAAGAAGATATATTAGCTATCCCATTTTTTCCATGAATTTTAGAATGCCAATTCTTACGATGAGCAGTATTTTAATCTAATTTAAATTAATCCTGCATCAATAAAAAACATAAACATTTACTAAACCATGTTTATAACTGGTTCATGCTCAGTTGTGAATAATAGCAAGTCAGTAAAACAAAATTAAATTAGACAAATTTGGTGATTTCAGTGTATTCTGTAATAGGTAGGAGATTGTTTCCAAGTCACCTGATACTGAGATCAGGCCAAAGATAATCAGATTTAGGAGTTTTAAGCTCTAAGACACTGTAAGACTGGGTATCCTCTTAATAGACATTTACTACTTCATGCACAAGGTGATAGAAACAATCTTTGTTGAAATTTCCCAGTTGTATGATGAAATATTGACTTTATATACAGTCAGTACAGACACGCAAGGCTGTCTCCCGCCACTGATCAATCTTGGTGTCTGAAATTGTCATCATTAAAGTTTCTCCTATATGCTGGTCATTGTTTCTAAAGGCCCCTTGTTAGAAAGGGCATAATTGCCTTGAAGAAGTAACAATTCAAAGATCTTAGCAACCTTTAATGTCATTGGATTTTAATATATTACCTTGCTGTCATAGGCAAGTGATCAGGAAGGGGGAAAGATTCAGAAAGATAAGACTCGGTGTAATTATAGAGTTGGGAACCCTGAACATTCAGGACAGTGAATGATAAAGAACAAAAAGACTTGCCCTATTACAAAACTAACCAGTTTTAATAAGAATAAGTCATGATGTAAAAAATGGTAACTTCTTGAAGGCAAAATTGGAACTTCTTTGCCTATAAAAGTGCTTCTCAAATTTAATGTGCTCACAAATCACTTGAGGATATTTTTTAAATGCCAATTCTGATTCAGGAAGTCTAGGGTGAGGCTAAAATTCAGCATTTCTTTTTTTCTAAATATTTTATTTATTTGACAGAGAGAGAGACAGCCAGAGAGAGAACACAAACAGGGAGAGCAGGAGAGGGAGGAGCAGGCTTCCTGTAGAGCAGGGAGCCTGATGCAGGGCTTGATCCCAGGACCACGGGATCATGACCTGAGCTGAAGGCAGATGCTTAACCATCTGAGCCACCCAGACACCCCATCAGCATTTCTAAATAGATCTAAGGTAATGCTGATGCTGCTGGTCCCAGGACTACACTTGAGTAGCAAGGCAAGACAGAATATTTAATTAAATGTTCTTTTTAGACAAGGATTTTCAATGTAATGAAGGGGAAGTTCCAGCAAAGGACTTTTGTTACTGATTACTAGGATGTCCTGGTCATTGAGAATGCTTATTGATTGATGGATCACATCACTGAAGTGTTGTACCACATGACCTGGGAGTAAAGAACATTCATATTTGGGTTTACTCACTTATTATTTAATGCAACAACACCAACTGTGCTTCTAGGAGTTGACATACTGGCCACATAATTCCATTGACGTCCTTCAGGGTCCCATCTTTCTACGGTATTTAGATAACTCCATCCATCATGACCACCAACAGCATACATTGGTCCTTCAAGTGTTGTTACACCTAGGAGATAAAAATAAGATGAGGTCTCACCTAGGTATACTGCACATAATGGATTTTTTTTCATTTTGCAAACAACTGGCTGTTTAAAAAATTGTTTTTGTTTATTAAATGGTTTTGTGTATACATTATAATTTCCTAATCTTGATATGAAATTAAAATGGTCTCTCAACCCTAGGAAATTTTCAGGCATAGTTACTGTATAATGGCAGGGTGTCATTGTTGTAATACTGAAGTTAATGGAAGTAGTGGAATACACCATTTCTAAGGATATAATAAAAAATGCAAACTATTTTTTCTGGCATAATTTCAACATCATTTTTTTAAATATAAGGGATAGATTAGACATCTATACTGAATCTTAGATAATGCTTAGGTTATTCATAGATTTGATTATTCATAGGTTAACTGTAGTAGGTCTTTTTAACCCCTGCTTTTTATTATAGTGATAAAAAATATTCACATGAGATAACCAAATAAACAGGAATTTTTGAGGTTTAGTTAGAAATTTGTTCCATTACATACTGTGAATTGCCCCTATCTAACTGCTTCTCTGGGAATTCACATAATTAGCCTTTTCCCCCCACCTTCTTCACCATCTCAATTAGCATCTCAGTGGTATAACTTCATCACTTCTACCTTCTTAGTAATATCAATAAGATTTTAAAAACTTGCTATGATTTCTCTGTAAGATATGTTTTCTAAGTAATGTCTAGGAATCACACTGACACAACTGAGCTGAATAAATATATAGTTTATCATTTGACATGGACACTTTTTTAGATAATGTGGGAAAAAAGACAATACCAGTCCTGAATCTGCCACTTTTTAGATGTGTAAGTCAGTTCTTAAAAAAAATAAGGCATTTATTATGCTTTTTAAACAAACTCTATGATATTGAAAATTTATGGAGTCTAGCATGAAGAAAGATGTACCCTGACAAATATTCAGAAGAATCAAAGTTCCCAACTGTTTCAGAAGTGTCCCCTTCACCTTAAACTTCTTGGGAGTCTCTAGCTTAAGTATAACTTAGAGTTGCTCTCAATCAAAACAGTTTTTTCTAAATACCCTTGCTTTGGACCTGCATCCCAAGCCTTTGCTGAAATACAGATTTGCCCCTTATAGGAAGGGACAAAGTTCATCAAATTAGAAACACAATGTCTTTCCATCATCAAGTACTTTTTGTTTCTTCTAAATTTAGTTTAGAAGAAAACTCCCTATTGTAGTTTTATGTTCCTCAATGATGTATTCCTTCCAAACTTTTTATTCTTCCTAAAGTGGTACCCTTTTAAAATACATTTAAAGGGAGGCAGGATTAACAAGTATGACATCTGAAACAAGAAAAAAATGTTTCACAAATTTTACCATTTGATTCAGCTTTTCAGCATTTTGGAGACATTTTGACTAAGGGTTTGGCTAAATCCCAGTAATGTACACTCATGATGAGCACTGGGTGCTGTATGGAATTGTTGAATCACTATATGGTACACATGAAACTTATATAATACTGTATGTTAATTATACTGAATTAAAATAAAATAAAATCTCAATAATGTACAGCTGTATTAATTTTTTAAAAAAGATCTACTAATGATCCATTCTTTAGAAACTTTGTAACATTAAGCTCTTACCTAAGCCATGCCTGTGTGTTGACATGGGAGGCATCACAGTCCAGATTTTGCCAACTGGATTAAAACATTCCACAGTATTCAAAGTTTTTAAACCATCTCTTCCTCCCACGACATAGAGCTTATTATCAATAACTGCAACTCCAAACTGAAGCCTACGGCCACTCATGGTGCCAATATGTAGCCAGCTGTTGGTTCTGAGATCATATTTTTCGATTGTAGTGGTACCTTTTAAAGGGATATTAAAAATGGAAACATTGCTTGTATAAAAATTTTAGTTGGCATCATTCATATTATATTTATGTACCTATAATTTATAGAATAGAATCAGTGATTGCAACTCAAATTTAAGTACCCAATGATTCTCTAACCTGGCTGACAAGGTAAAGGTTATATTTTGCTACCATCGGATCCAAATGGAAGAGTCAGAATAAAACAGTTCATTTAATATATATGGTTTGTATACTTGTAATGGTTTCTTTGGCTATACTATGCTACTAGTAGTACTAACACAGGTGTCAACATGATAATTTGAATCTATTACTAACTCTTTACACATCCATTACTATTTTAATTACCTATGGTCATTCAATATATGAGTTTATGTCCTTTTATTTTATTCAGTTGTGTGTACGTTGATTTAAAATACAAGTGACTAAAGAAACAAGAATGAAAATTCCTTTTAAAAGGGCCTTTAGTGCTGATTCATACAATTTTCCATGACAGTAAAATGAAGGATTATAATTAAAAATAGACTAGGATTATTTATAATTATTTATTATATTTAAGAATTTAGTTCTGAGATATTACCTACTTCATGTGTTAATAAAAGTTCATTTTCTAGTCAATTAGTAAAATGTTAATTTTGCTATCATAGTATACTGTCACTACTGCCATAGTAAATTGCCACTACTTCATAATAAATTGATAACTTTTACATCCATGTTCATCAGTAATATCGGCCTGCAGTTTTATTTTTTAGTGGAGTCTTTACCTGGTTTTGATATCAGGGTAATGCTGGCCTCATACAATGAATTAGAAATGAAATAAGTCAAGCAGAGAAAGTCAATTATCATATGGTTTCACTTATTTGTGGAACATAAGGAATAGCATGGAAGACATTAGGAGAAGGAAGGGAAAAATGAAGGGGGGGAATTGGAGGGAGAGATGAACCATGAGAGACTATGGACTCTGAGAAAAAAAACAGGGTTTTAGAGGGGAGGGGGGTGGGGGATGGGTTAGCCCGGTGATGGGTATTAAGGAGGGCATGTACTGCATGGAGAACTGGGTGTTATATGAAAACAATGGATCGTGGATCACCACATCAAAAACTAATGATGTATTGTATGGTGACTAACATAACATAATAAAATTTTAAAAAAAGAAAGTTTTCCTTCCTTTTCTATTTTTTGGAATAGTTTGAGAAGAATAGGTACTAAATCTTCTTTAAATGTTTGGCAGAATTACCCTATGAAGCCATGAAGCCCTGGACTTCTGTTTACTGAGAGACTTCTGATTACTGATTTAATTTCTTTTCTGGTTATCGGTCTATTCAAGTTTTCTATTTCTATTTTGGTAGTTTATATGTTTCTAGAAATTTATCCATTTTTTCCAGGTTGTCCAATTTGTTGGCATATAATTTTTCATAATATAATTGTTTGTATTTCTGTGGTGTTGGTTATTTCTCCTCTCTCATTTGTGATTTTATTTATTTGGGATCTCTTTTCTTTTTGATAAGTCTGGCCAGACCTTTATCAATTTTATTTTTTTCATTTTTTGAAACAACTAGCTCCTAGTTTCACTGATCTGTTCTATTTTTTTCTTAGTTTCTATACCATTTATTTCTGCTCCAATCTTCATTATTTCCTCTCTTCTGCTGGCTTATGTTTCATTTGTTGTTATTTTTCTAGCTCCTTTAGTGCATAATAAATTGTCATTTCTGTGAGCAATGCTTTTTTACCAGTCATTCACAATAGCTGCTGCTATTTTTTAGTAAAAGTTGATTTTGCACAAGGAAGTTTCTGACAAATAACCAAGGTGGAAAGTAAAGATTTATTATTCACACATATAGTGTACTTAAGACTGCTTTTGGCAGATTTACGGAATTTCATCACAAATGCATAGAGCCAACCATTGGAATAAGCGAAAAACACTTTTCATTGTTATTCTACTGGGCAATTTGTGGAGAAAATATAATTCATTAGTTATGATGAAAATATGTTTACATCTGAACTGTATCCACTGACCAATTATAATGCTATGGTATGAGATCAGACCAAGTCAAAATTTAAGCAAAGTATATTGTATCTATGGCTGCTTCTGAAAGTTTTTCTATATATATTAGCTTAGTGAAGACAGTGTTTATTTCTTTTCTGTAATTTTAGATCTTTTCTGATGAATAGTGTACTGTAAGTATTTATGTCTCAAGAGTTTGGATTTTCACAATAAAACTTGTGTATATACAGATACTCATTATCTTTTATCTTTAATACCTCCATCTTTCACTGATAAGATGGATTTAGCTGAATGCTGATTTACAGATCAACAATTGCTAAATGGACTGCATTTACTACTGAAAGGTCAAATAACACCACTTAGAAGAATATCTTTTCTACAATAAATATCTCCGGATGATCCTGTTAAAACTGGAATATCTACAAACACGCATCAACTTTCACTCTGTCAACCAGCCCTTTTTTTAAATATTTTATTTATTCATCTGAGACACAGAGATACAGAGAGAGAGAGGAGAGAGGATAGAGCCTGAGCAGGGAGAGAAGCAGAGGGAGAAGGAGAAGCAGGCTCCTCGCTGAGCCAGGAGCCCGATGTGGGGCTCGATCCCATGACCCTGGGATCATGACCTGAGCCGAAAGCAGATGCTTAACCATCTGAGCCACCCAGGTGCCCCAACCAGCTCATTTTTTTCTGAACTTTTTCAGATCTTTCTACTTCCTCATTCTAATCTTCCCAAATCTGTCTTCCTATCCACTTCTTCCTATTTTAACCATTTATTTCAAACTCTTTTCATTAGTGGAATTAAACAAAAAGCGAATTTAGATTAGGAAATGAAGACTAGGCTGCTCTACTTACTAAAATTATAGAAATATTAATAGTGGTCAGGAAATTGTACAAATCTACATTAATCAAGTGCATACAGAAGATTTACACTGAAATAATGTAGAAGTCTGTTTTATGCCAAGTTAGTTTTTTTTTTCTGAGCATTAGATGAAATATAGAAGATTAATATATCCCACATCTCTTATTTTTGTCTATGAACATATATAACTGGTAGTTCTATATCTTGAATTCTGAGGATTTCTTCAGCCCATTTACCTACCTCCACTATTGCTTCAACTAATCAAAATGTAAATCTCCTAGCTGGCCTACTATGCCAGCTCTACATTTGATGGGAAAACTTAAATTAGATTTTTTTTTTTTACTGATGTCTCTCCTTAGGACTCATTTTATGATGTTTCTGTGTATATAAATCTTCTTCCCTAAAACATTGAAATATTGTTTCTCAATTCATCTCTAAGCTCTTATTGGACCCTCATTTATGATCTGGTCAAGAGGAAACAAAACCAACCTAACGTAGTATTGTTGAGAACATGATAGCTCCTATAGCTGTGAATATATCTGATTTAGCGATTTTCTCCTTCTATTTTTTTTTTTTTTAGTGTTCCATGATTCATTGTTTGCGTATAACACCCAGTGCTCCATGCAGTACATGCCCTCCTTAATACTCATCACCATGCTAACCCATCCCCCCACCCCCCTCCTCTCTAGAACCCTCAGTTTGTTTTTCAGAGTCCATAGTCTCTCATGGTTCATCTCCCCCTCCGATTTCCCCCCCTTCATTCTTCCCCTCCTGCTATCTTCTTCCTTTTTTTTTTTAACATATAATATATTATTTGTTTCAGAGGTACAGGTCTGTGATTCAACAGTCTTACACAATTCACAGCACTCACTATAGCACATACCCTCCCCAATGTCTATCACCCAGCCACCACATCCCTCCCACCCCCCACCACTCTAGCAACTCTCAGTTTGTTTCCTGAGATTAAGAATTCCTCATATCAGTGAGATCATATGATACATGTCTTTCTCTGATTGACTTATTTCACTCAGCATAATACCCTCCAGTTCCATCCACGTCATTACAAATATATATACAATGGAATATTATGCAGCCATCAAAATGAATGAAATCTTTCCATCTATTTTTAAAATGATCTAAAAATAACTATATTAGCCTCCCATTTATCCCATGGCATACTGCCTCTCAGAATTCATTGTTTTTAATAAGTGAAAAGTTACTGCATACCTTTATGTACAAAAGCCGAAAGTTTACCATTTGACCATTTTTTAATGTTGACTCTGTGATCATACAACTTTCTGATGATTCTTTTAATATACATGGTAGGAGTTACAGTTAGCCCCAGCCACTTGTGTGATGCCTATATCTACCAACTAATTCCAAGTTAACTGTATGAGTCAAAAAAAAAATTAAGGACAGAAGAAGTACTGCATTTCCTAGACATCAAAGGGGGAAAATTCAGAAAATATCTTTAAAAAATGAAATAATGCACTCTAAGAAAAAGCACGCATATTGAAATTATTTTTATAGTTTTATGAAAGAACAGAAATGTAATACTGATTTATATAGATAAATGTTACCCCTTTAATGTTTTGTTATAACTTAAGGTTATTTTTCTTTCTTTTTTTCTTTCTTTTCTTTCTTGTGCCTAAGTGCTCAACCTGGTTTTTCTATAGATTCTAAGACCCTTAAAAAGAGAGGTCAGTTTTTGTTTTGCTCTTTCTTCAAAAATAGTGGCAGTATAGCAAAAAGGAATATATAATTTAAGTAAGAATTCCACTTCCAGTCTTTCTAGATGTTTGTCCTTGGGTTGGCTATGTTACCTTAAGAGCCTCAGTTTCCCCATCTGCAAAACTGCAATACTATCTTGTAGCATTACTGTGAGGATTAGAAATTATGTTTGCAAAATGCCAATGAAGGATGAAGAACTCAAAAATAGTTTTTTACTATTATTGTAGTTGTCTGCAACTTCCCATAGGGCCTTTTTTTTTCTCAACACACTAGATACTCATGAAGTCTCAAATGAAACTTAGTTCCTTCCATATGAAACTGTGGTAATAAAGTCAAGGGGATTATAGGTTCACATTTCAGTCATTCTTAAAAAATCTGATAAGGAACTGTAGATACTTAT